AAATGGTTAGTTAGACACTTATGTGGTAAATATATCTCAGGTAGTTTCAATCTAGCAAGATTATTATTTTTTTGGGTCTGGTTGTGGGGCTTGAACTCTGGGCCTGGGCACTGTCCCTCAGCTCCTCAGCTCAAGGCTAGTGCTCTACCACTTGAGCCACAGTGCCACTTCCCGCTCTTTTTGCTTATGTGGTGCTGAGGAATTGAACCCAGGGCCTCGAGCATGCAAGGCAAGCGCTCTACCACTGAGCCACCTTCCCAGCCCCAACTTCTGGTTTTTTAGTGGATAATGAGATAAGAATCTCACAGACTTTATTGCCCAGGTTGGTTTCCAACCTTAATCCTCAGATCTCAGCCTCCTGAGTAGATAGAATTAAAGGTGGGAGCCTGGCCAGTGTCTATTTATTTGTATTTTTGATGCTAATCCTGGAGCTTGATCTCCAGCTGAGGGCTGTCCCTGAGCTCTTTTGCTCAAGGCTTGAGCTCTACCACTTGGAGCCACAGTACCATTTCTAGTTTTCTGGTGACTAATTGGAACTAATGATTCTCTCGCAGACTTTCCTGCCCCAGCTGGCTTTGGACAGCGATCCTCAGATCTCAGCCTCCTGAGTAGCTAGATTATAGGCGGGAGCCATGAGCTCCCAGCCAGCATCTGTTTTAAACTGGGCTGGGTAGCACTACAAACTGCATCGTGAAGCTACCTCTTTTGGCCTGCTATCTCGTGATCTTGGGTAGCACTTCTAGGCCTGTAGCATCAGCACAGTTAACATGGTACAGGTCACGGGACTACTGCCCCAAATGTCCCCGTGTTCCCCATGGTCACCTCTGCCTCTGAGCACCCTGGCCTAAGAGCTGCCCAGCTGGCCCTGCTGCCCGGAACTGAGGGGTGTGGCCTCTCCCTGGTGGCAGTGGTCGGGGATTGCTGGGCGGGGCGGGCTCTGGCATGGCCCCTCCTGTCACCGGGCCAGGCTCCCCTGTGTGCAAGGACTCCCGCTGGGTACCTCGCGCCAGGCCGGGGGCATCTGGGCAGTTGTGTGCACGTGGTGTGTCCTCGTGTTCCCCAGCCAGCTGCAGGCGTGGGATTGCAAGGTCCCGTAGATTCACAGTGAGGACGGCCTCTTCTGTTCCGTCGTTCACTTGCAGCTGAGGCTTTCCTGGCGACTTGTGATCTTGCACACCTGCAAGGTTTTGGTAACGAAGGCCCTTGCCTGCATCCACGTCAGGTCTCTGAATGCACGTCCTTTATCAGACGTGTGTTTGGCACAGATCATCTCTAGGCTGTGGCTAGACTTCCCTCTGAGTGTGCCCAGTGGGTGGTGGAGGGCGCGGTGCCTGACAAACCAGGCCTCTGTGCTCTGCTTGGACCTGTGACCTCGGCTCCCTACCTGGAAAGCACTGCTCAGACAGTCTGACCTGCAGGGCTGGAGTTCATGCTGGGGGGAGGGGGTCACTCTGTCTGCTCCCTGGTTGCGGCTTTCCGGCTCTGTCTGACCTGAGTGTATTTTAGTCCTGTCACCCAGAAGCACTGAGTGGAAGGTATTATCTGTGCCTTCCATGGGTGAATTATGTATAATCAAAACAGGAAAGTGCTTTCTGAGTTTCGCCCTGCAGTAAAATAACATGTAATCTCCACGTCCTTGCTTGGCTGTTTTGTTTGTTTAGAGTTCTCTTGTTTTGAGGTGGAGGTCTCCCTGTGTTGCTCACTTGAATGGGGGCTCCCAAGTAGCTGGAATAGCATGTGTGCATCACCATGCTTGGGCCTGCTTCGCCGTGGGCGTGGAGTGGGTACTTCTTTGTTGCTGTGTTCTGTGTTATTTCACCGCTGCACATCTGTGTGTGGGAGTACAGTGTCTGAATGCGCACCTGTCATATTATCTGCACTGAGAATTCTCCTGTTCCCTGTTACTCCTCTCCTGGGGCTTGAACTCAGGGCCCGAGTGCTATTCCTAAGCTCTTTTATGCTCAGAGCCACAGCTCTCCTGGCTTTTTGTGGGTTATTTGGAGATAAGGGTTTCATAGACTTTCCTGCTTGGGCTGGCTTTGAACCGTGATCCTCAGACCTCAGCTACCTCTGAGGTAGCTGCGCACTTACCCAGCCTTACTTTTAACGAGAACGCCCTCTGTGCTTTGGGACGTAAAGGCAAGCTGGGTCAGGCCTTTCCCCGGCCAGGGCTGTGTTCTCCGCTCCACGGCCCACGTACAGCAATTGCACCTTAACTTCCCCCAGCTTCCTTCGGGCTGTTCTCCCCGGACCGCTTCTCCGTGGTGGGGTCTTAGCTGAGCTTCCAAGCTGTACCTGCTTGATCGTGCCTCACACAGCGTTCTCTGGCCGCCAGAGGAAGCCTGAGCACCCTGGTTTTGTTTGATGTCCGAGTCTGGTGAAGGTAGCGACTGATCTGGGTGGAGCCTCTCCCTGCTCCAGGGGGATCCTGTGTCCCAGATGCAGTGCAGAGTCAGGTCCTGGTGCCAGCCCCCTGGGTGCTGAGTGTCTCTGCAGAATCGAGCGTGCTAGCTGATCTGTCTGCGCATAGCCTCGGGGGGGGGGGTCCTTCCCAGCCGACGTTGGAAGATGCACACCCTCACTCTGGAGAATAAGGAGCCTCGGGTTATATTTAGGTATTTGTGGGGTGCGTATGGGTTCACGGTGTGCGGTGCCGGCCGCCCCCGCCGCTCCTTCCCACCTCGCCTGTCGTGTGGACGGTCGCGCACCTTCAGAGTTGAGAGTGGTGGACTTGCACGGTATGTGGAGGTTCTTGGTATGAGAGGTTCTTGGTGCTTCCTTCTCCTGTCCGTTCTGCGTTCTCCTCTCACTCGGGGAAGCAGAGGTGTTCGTTGCCGAGGTCAGAGGTCAGAGTCCTGGTGGGCAGAGCCAGGCCAGGGCTGCCCTGGTGGGTGGGCACCTTTGTGGACCTTCCAAACGAAGGCTCCCTGCAGGAGCGGCTGGAGGGGCCGTGCCCTGGCTTAGTGTCCAGGGCTTCTTGAGGCCGTGGTCTGCTGTATGGTCACAGGAGCGCGCCAGGGCTGCGGAGCGCTCAGCATGGCGGCCGCCACAGAGCCACGGCTGTGATGTCTGCGCAGAGCTCCGGGCGCTGAAGCTGGGGGCCAGGCGGCCGCAGGGCTGTGTGCTGAGGCCTCTCCTCCTCCCTGAAGAAAGATGTCCCTCAGTCCTGTCCTCACGCAGCCTTGAGAACCTGCAGATCCTTCCCGCCCCAAACGCAGACCTGCAGCTGCGGCCTGCCTCACACACCGCCTTCTCTCATCCTCCCGAGGACCTGCCTGGCCTCAGCTGGTCTCCTGGGGTCTCAGTCCCACCCCACAGGACAGGTGGGGAGTGGAGGAGAGCATCTCCTAAGACAGGAGCGACACCCTCTGGTCTTCTGGATGGAGGTTGCAAGTGGACGATCAGGCTGACAGGGGGGCTGTGGCTGTGTCCTAACTGAGGGGGGTCTGTACCTCTGTCCTGACTGAGGGGGGCTGTGCTTCTGTCCTGACTGAGGGGGCTGTGCTTCTGTCCTGACTGAGGGGGGCTGTGCTTCTGTCCTGACTGAGGGGGGCTGTACCTGTGTCCTGACTGAGGGGGGCTGTACCTCTGTCCTGACTGAGGGGGGCTGTACCTGTGTCCTGACTGAGGGGGCTGTACCTGTGTCCTGACTGAGGGGGGCTGTACCTCTGTCCTGACTGGGGGATGGGGGGCGCAGCAGCTGTGTCTCTATGCTGTTCAGACAGGAGCAAGAAAGGAGGCTGCAGCTTCTCCCAGATTTTCCAAGAAACGTGTATGCTCAGGGTCTCTAATTCCTCAAAGGGTTTGTGTTGCCCCAAAGCTGGCCCGTGCAGGGTTGGGGTGCTGGGGGAAGAAGGGGGGGTGACGCTGGCTTGACTTGGATTCAGTCGCAGCCCAGGGAGCCCCTGTCGCAGAGGAGGGTCCCACAACACGGGCCCTGGGAGCCTGGGCCAGCTCACCTTGTCCACAGGTGAGAAGCTGTGGCCCTCCACCCCACGCCGCAGCCCCAGCTCGCGTCCTCGCTCCACTGGGTGCAGAGGAAGCCTGAGGGCAGGACGGGGCGGGAGGGGCTGAGCCTGGGCTGAGCCAGGGCTGGGCACCGTGGCGGCGACACGCCTCCATGGCTGGGTCAGAGCTCCTGTGAGCCCGCCGCCCACCTGGGTGCATCCCGTGACACGCATCCTCCCAGTCAGGCTCACCTTATCTTCAGATGCTCAGCAGAGCACTGCTAGAGCACCGCCGTGCGTGACGTTCCTAGGTTTATGCACCACCTGTTAGTTCCCAGCTGAGCCACATCTGGAAGTCAGGGGCTGGCCCAAGAGCACCCGACAGTGCAGGGAGGAGCAAGTGTCTACGTGGATGAGAGCCCCAGGGAGGCGCCAGTCCCCCCACAATCGCCTCGTGCTCCCGGGTCCCAGTGCAGCCCCTGCCAGCATGGCACCCAAAGTGAAGAGCGCGTGGTGCTGATACACTCTCTTCATGTCCCCCGTCAGCGAGCCTCCACAGCTAACTTGTTGTTGTTGACAGTGAAGAGGAAGAAGAGCTCCAAGGCAGAGGCCAAGGGAACTGTCTCCAAGGTCACCGGGAAAAAAATCACCAAGATCATTGGGCTGGGGAAGAAGAAGCCGTCCACTGACGAGCAGACCTCCTCGGCCGAGGAGGACGTGCCCACCTGTGGTAAGACCCCCCAAGACACCTGGCTTGGAGGAGGGGCCCCTGGTCATGGGCTGGCTTGGAGGAGGGGCTGCCTCGTCGTGGGCTGGCTTAGAGAAGGGTCTGCCTGTTTGTGGGCTGGCTTGGAGGAGGGGCCTCCTCGTCGTGGGCCGGTCTGGGGTGGGACTCTCGACCTAGCACTGCAGCCGGCTGAGCTGGGGAAGGCTGGCGGCAGCAGTGCCATTGGGAGGAGAGAAGCAGGGCACTGGCACCATGTCCCTTCCACCCCTCGCTCTGCCAGGAGGACAGGACCCAGCTGCAGGCTGCTGCTCAGCCGAGGCAGAGCTATGACAGAGTGAAAAGGTCCTGGAGGCCTCCACGTGCCCGCTGTGGCCTCGGCCTTCTCCGACACTCGGTGACGTGGCTCACCCTCCCTCTTACAGCCCTGAGACAGGTCGGGAGTTTTTTTTTTTCTTTTTCTCATATGGTGACTTGAACTGAGGCCCTGGGCATTGTCCCTTAGCTTTTTCACTCAAGGCTGATGCGCTACCATTAGAGCCACAGCACCACTTCCAGCATTTTGGTAGTTAATTGGGGACAAGAGTCCTGCTTGGGCTGGCCTTGAACTGCGATCCTCAGATCTCAGCCTCTCCTGAGTCTGTCCTTCCATAAGGACCAATTGCAATTCAGAGACTGCACAGACCCTCCTTGGGTGAACAGGGCACGGACACAGCGGATGGTGATTGGGAGCAGGGCTGGCCCAGCCCACGCACAGACGCCTGTGACTCAAGCCACCTACCTCCGTGTCTCCAGAGCGCTGCTCACTGACACTCGGCTGTGTTCTGAGCCCTAGCAGCGTGTCCCAGGGCATGTCCATGGTGTGTGCTTGTGCACGCGTGCGCTTCCACCAGCCTCTGTGCATACCCGCCTCCTCCTTTCCCCCAACCTAAAGCTGTCCCCAGCTCTGCTAGGCAAGGGTGAAGAGCGGCTCCAGGCACACAGGACCGTAATTGTTTTCAGCCAGCTCGGTGGAGTGGGAGGGGTTCAGGCAGAGGAAAGAAACTGGGCTCAGGCCCAGGGCACCAAGCCGAGCCTCTACAGCTGCAGCCTCCACTCCGGGGATGCTGAGCAGAGTGGCCGGCTGGAAGGGCAGAGCAGCTGGGCAGGCCGAAGACGCCGAGGTGCGCGTGCGTGGGCCTTGCCGGGGAGGGCAGGCTCCCCCCAGGGCTCCTGGCACTGGTTGCTCAGACTGTGCCTGGCTGGACCCCCTGCTCTGCAGCATCAGCCGTGGCTGTCCCGTGCCCGGCCTCCTTTGAGGAGTTACCATGGATTCAGTCAGCTTCCCACACAGCCCCTGGTGGTGACCAGACACAAGCGAGGTCTCCCCCACCACAGTGTGAGTGCTGTGGGCCCTGCGCTCACGGGTCCTGAGGACCACTCCACACCCACGAAGCTGTTGGGTCCGGACTGCACCCCGTCCTCCCATGGTCTAGGCCAGCACCCCGGACTATGTCACCCAGGCTTGTGTGGGTGTGTTGAGGCTTGAACTCAGGGCCTGGGTGTTGTCCCTAGTTTTTTTTTCCCCTCAAGTCTGGTGCTCTGCCACTTCAGACATGGCGCTACTTTCAGTTTTTCACTGGTGAATTGGCGGTGAGAGTCTCACAGTCTTTGCTGCCCAGGCTGGCTTTGAACCCAGACACTTAGATCTCAGCTTCCTGAGTAGCTCACATTACAAGCATGAGTCGCTAGTGCCTGGCTCACCCAAGCTTTTGAAACCAACCACAAATTGCTAAGCCCCATGCAGGACCACAGGAGCTGTGTCAGGAGCGGCCTAGACGGTGGGCTTGGCGGGTTCTGCATGATCTGGTGGACATCTCCCCTGTCGCATGGCTTCCAGTGACAGCATAGGCTTCTTACGCAGCACTCTGTGTGGTTCAGGTACCCCCCCCCCCAATCAACCCAGGAGCCCATATTGGGCTGGCACACGAGGCCCTCTGCCCCAGAGGCCGGGGGAGGCAATAGTGAGCTTGGTGGCCCCTGGGCGGTGCGTGATATGACACATGGTGTCTCACACTGCCCCTCCCGGCCCCACCCCTGCCAAGACAACTCCAAGGTACTCATGGGGATGGAACGGCTCTCAGAGGTAAGGTTTGACCTCTGGGCACACTCTGTCGGGCAGCTATGGGTCCCCTCTCGGAGATGAACAGGCCCTAGAAGCTGCCTGCCTGCCTCTCCACAGCTGCCCGAATCTGAGCCACTGGCAGCCAGCTGCTGCCTCTGCAGGCGCTTTTGCGTGGTTTATTTACTCTCAGGCCTGTAGGTCAACTTTAGGGTTCTGCTGAAATGTTCTTGTAACATGGCTGAGGAAGTTCTTGCTTTAGAATTTGGAGCAGAAATCATTTCAAAATATTGAACCAAGGGCACGGAGGCATGGCTCAAGTAGCAGAGTGCCAGCCTTGAGTGAAAAAGTCAAGCAAGTGTAGGAGGCCCTGAGCCCAAGTCACAAAAGCCACATTAAACGGAAATTCCAAGGTTTTAGGCTACAGTGAATAGCACCCTGTAGTACCCGGGACCAAACAAACTGCACACAACCGGAGCCTCGGGCCGGTGTGGCAGGTCTGGGGCGGAGTTCGCTGGGAGAGCCCTGCTGCGTGGGTCGCTTGACTCGCCCCCTGGTGGCAGAGGTGTGCTCCAGCGTGAAGGACTCTGGGTGGAGAGGATCCTGAGATAGTGCAGTCCCTGTACATCCCCTCTCGGGTGCTCTGCCATCTCCCTGCCTGGCCCCTCCCTTCTCGGTGTTTTCTCCCCAGAGGATGGCTGCTTGGGGTGCCCGGCTTTCTCAGGTAGTGAGGCCCCCTGGGCTGTGCGGGGCAGAAGGGGAGCAGTGGCCGAGGAGGGCGTGCTGTCCGAGATGTCCTGTCTACGCTAGCAAGTCCACTGTCCAGGGCTGTATTCTTTATTTTCCCGTTCTTAAACTGAACATGCCTGAAGTGTTAAAACCTGGCGTTCCCTGGTCTAAATAGGGCAAACCTCTGTGGCTGGCACATCAGGAAGCCCAAGCTCTGGTTGGTGGGCGGTGCTCGGTGACCCCGCCCTGCAGGACCGTGTGGGAGGGGCTTGGAAGCCCCAAGCCCAAGTCCGCCTTCCCATGGCTTCGGCCCTGCTCGGGTGTTGGCTGCTCCTGAGAACAGCCTGGCCTCCCGCAGGCCTGTTCCGTGGTTATCCTGTCCCAGCCTCTAACGCTGGTCACCCACCACCGTGTTCTCAGGGCCGCACGGAAGCCCTGGCACGAGAGCTGGTCCTTGGAGCTGTTGGGGCTCCCGCCAGCACCGTTGTCCACCCTGTCCCTTTGGAGCTGTCCTCTTCTTCTTTCTGGGAACTTGCTGTGTGGGGTGTGTTTTATATCCACGGCCACGCCAAGGAGGCCAAGCCAGGGAACTGGCAGGACCCCTCCCCGTCTGTCCCCCGGGAGGCCACCACGCGCTGTCCCTGTCCCCGCAGGCTACCTGAACGTGCTGTCCAACAGCCGCTGGCGGGAGCGCTGGTGCCGGGTGAAGGACGGCAAGCTGGTGCTCCACAAGGACCGGACGGACCTGAAGACCCACGTGGTCTCCATCCCGCTCCGCGGCTGCGAGGTGACCGCCGGCCTGGACTCCAAGCATCCGCTCACCTTCCGGCTGCTCCGCAACGGGCAGGAGGTAGCCGTGCTTGAGGTACGTGTCCCAGGGTGCGCGGGCCCCCAAGCCGTGTGACCCCTCTGGAGCATGTCCCGGGGTATGCGTGGGCCCCCAAATCCGAGTGACCCCTCTGGAGAGTGTCCCGGGGTGTGCGGGCCCCCAAGCCGTGTAACCCCTCTGGAGAGTGTCCTGGGGTGCATGTGGGCCCCCAAGCTGCGTGACCCCTCCGGAGCATGTCCCGGGGTGCATGTGGACCCCCAAATCAGCGTGGTCCAGCACCGGAGCTGGCCATCTTCCCACACACCACCGGCTCTGTTACCCGCTGCCCTTCTCCCAGTTCCTCTCGGGTTTGGAGAGAGGCGGGCGGGCCCCACAGCCCCGAGCTGCCAGCGTTGGCCATATTGGCCACGTTGGGTTTGCTGCTGCTTCCCTCTGCTTGCACGGAAGTTACGTGACACAGTTCCACACGAGGACATCTGTCCCAAGTGCGGGAACAGCTTGTTGAAAACTTCCATTAAACTTCTTTGTTCCTGGCTGCCTTTGAGCTGTGCCTGGAGCCCCTTTTTCTCTGTCCTCTGTTCCTCATGGAGCGAGTGTTTGGGGGCCACCTGACACCCTACAGGTAGAACCACAAGCCAGACTTCTCATGGGTGGAAGAGTAGACCCTGACTTCGTGTGCCAGCATCACATTCCTTGTGTGGCTGCTTCTCGTTATAATAATACAGAGATGCACACGCATGCGTGTACATGGGGACCTAGTGACTCCCGCCTGCTAAAGCGTGGTGCCACTGAGCCATAGCCCAGCCCTAGTCCACACTCATGACTTGATTTTGGGGAAGGACAGAAACCTGTGTGCATGCGTGTGCATTTGGGGGGTGTCTTGGAAGGTTACAGATCTTCTGGCACATATGAGGTCTGGGCGTTTAGAGTTTGATCTGGGTGTACGTGCAGACAGAGGCAACACTTCGTGGGTTAAATAGGTTTTAGAAATACTAATCGTTAATTGTTACATTTTATTTAGCTATTTTTGCGTTTTATTGTTATTATAAAAGTGATGTACAGCTGGGCACTGGTGGCTCAAGCCTGTAATGCTAGCTACTCAGGAGACTGAGATCTGAGGATCATGGTTCAAAGCCAGCCTGGGCAGGAAAGTCCATAAGATTCTTTATCTCCAATTAACCACCAGGAAACTGGAAGTGGTAGAGTGCTTGCCTTGAGCTGAAGAGCGCAGGGACAGCGCCCAGGCCCAGAGTTCAAGCTCCATGACCAACAACAACAAAGAAAGTGATGTGCACAGGGGTAGCAGGCACGTAAGTCAGGGTGTGCCTGTTGTGGTGGTGCTAGGGTTTGAACTAGGCCTTGCGCTGGCTGAGCCGACGTCCTGCCACCGGAGTCGCGAGTCGCCCTTTTTGCTTTAGTTATTTTCAAGTAGGTTCTTTGATTTTTGACCCAGGAGCCTTGGGCCGCAAGCCCACAAGCCTCTGTACAGCCGGATGACAGACACCCACTGCCACGCACAGCTTATTTGTCCAGATTCCCCGGGTAGCTGCAATTACAGGCCTGAGTCACCCCATCTGGCCACATTTGTGCTTTTTGAAAGTGCAAGTTGCCGTGTCAGTTCGCTGTGATCTGCAGCCCCAGACTCATGCTCACTCTCTGGGATTCACAGTCAGATCTATCCCCATGCCCTGCCCCCCGTTTGCCACTGGCACGTTCTCAAAAGGACTGGTACGTGGTATGGAAAAGAAGGGTCCGTTCAATGTATTGATCACTTTTTCAACTTCCTTCTCTTTTACTTTCTTGTTCCAGTGCTAGGACTTGAACTGAGAGCCTTGCACTGTTGCTTGGCTGTTTTTGCTTGGGTGTGATGCTCAACCCCTTGTGCACAGCTCTACTTCTGGCTTTCTGCTGGTTAATTAGAGATGAGAGTCTTATAAACTTTCCTGCCCGGGCTGGCTTTGAGCCATGATCCTCAGATCTCAGCCTCTTGAGTAGCTAGGATGACAGGCGTGAGCCGCCGCCGGCGCCCGGCCTTAGTGAGTGTAATCTTAGGGATATATTTCAGACTTGCCACCATGTTGAAGAGGGCTCCACAAGGCCACCTGGACGGTGGGCAGCATCTTGGCTGGGGAGGCACAGCCGACATGGAGGTGATTTTGTCCCCTCTGCCCAGGAGAGGCAGCCGGGCCACTCTGGCAGGTCGCGTCTGTGTCACCGTCCACAGCCAGCCTTGGTTGACAAAGGAAGGAGGCTTTCTAACCCCCTTTCCCTTACTGAGACGTCACTGCAGATATGAACTTCCTGTCTCACCCTGCGGCCTTCCATGACTCATCAGAATTGCTCAGATTGTCTTCACCCAGGGTGACTGGGACCCTGGCTTTCCCGGTTAGACAGACAGACAGACAGACAGACAGACAGACAGACACACACACACACACACACACACACACACACACACGGGTAACTGGGACCCTGGCTTTCCCTGTTCGTTACCCCCCCCCCCCCCCCACACACACACACACCGGCTGGGTTGCTCCCTTCCTGGGACAACATGGTAACACTTCTTGTGCAAGCGGTTGTCTGTGGTTGAAGAGAACACGCTGTTCCTGCACAGGCGGCGTCTTCGGAGGACATGGGCCGATGGATCGGGATCCTGCTGTCTGAGACGGGCTCATCCACGGACCCGGGAGCCCTGCACTACGACTACATCGATGTGGAGATGTCGGCAAACGTCATCCAGACTGCCAAGCAGACCTTCTGGTGAGACCCCAGGCATTAGACAGAGCAAGCGCAAGACCTTCTCTTTGCTGTGGTGGTCCTCTAGATTTTGCTGAAATATTTGGTCACTTCTTCCCTCTGAGATGTCCTGTAGTGCAAGGCTTGGCCAACTTGCTGGGTAAACGACCCGGTAGTAAACACTGATTTTGTTGGCCAGATATCGGCAGTTAGTTACGTGCACCCAGCTCCACTGTCGCAGGCAGACTTAATACATAACAGAAAAATGGATGTGTCTGTGTTTCAAGAAAACTTTATTTGCAAAACAAGCAGAGGGCTGGGTTTGGCCTGTGGGCTGGAGAGGAGGAGGTGCACCACGTAGAAATTGTTCTGCACGTTGCCGCAAGAGGACTGAGGTGTGAAAGCATCTTTCTAGTGTTCTGAGTTTGAATTGTGGCTTTGCAAAATGGTGCTTTGTGCAAAAACATTCTCCCGAACTGTGGTTATTTCCTTAAGAAAATGTCAGGAACCTGGACAGCAGCGGCTAGGTGTGGTCCACAGATGCCCAACAGGGTGTCTAGGACCCACCTTCCCGATACCTGCACTGTGACCCCCAGGGTGTCTGGGGCGTCCCTGGTGTGGTCCGCGCACTGTGACCAGAGCTCGCAGCAGCAGTTCAGAGGCACTGCTGGACCCAGGCTGACCTCAGTGCAGCAGACGATGGTCTTTTTTTTTCTCTGGGGAACTTAGCCGAACTTGGCACCTACCATTCTGAGACTGCTGCAGGCAGCTGGGCGTGGCTCATACGGTAGTCAGCCAGGTCTGGACAACGGGAGTTCTGGGCCAGCTGGTGGTGTGGGCATCAGGGTGGCTGGGCCTGCGTGCTGTCCCTGAGCTCCTCTTGCTCAAGGCTAGCACTCTAAGCTTGAGCTATAGCTCACTTCTAGCTTTTTCTGTGAGTAATTGGAGATAAGAGACTCAAGAGCTGGCTTCCAACCATGATGCTCAGATCTCAGCCTCCTGAGTAGTTAGGCCAATAGGCGTAAGCCACCAGCGCCCTACTTCCTCTTCATTTTCTTCTCCCTCTTGTGTTCTTCCACGTTTACTTCTGTGTACCTTCAGTGTGCCAGAAGCCGGTAGCTAGGGGGAGAGGCGTGTGCATGCCGTCCTTTGCCAGCAGGGGGCAGTGGTGCTTTCTGCCAGGACAGGCTCAGAGCTCCAGGGTGTGCTGAGAGGCCGTTTTCACCTTATCCCCTAACTCCTCTTAACACTCCGCTTTTTTTTTTTTTTTAATCTGGGAAGACACAGAACTAGTAAGGGAGAACTGCTTTCCTGTGTGATTTTTATCCCTGGCTGTGTTGGAGCAGAAGATCTGTTTGCTCCAGGCTCTTTCTTCCCTGGGAGCCAGGCTGTCTGCTGTCTGTGCCGCCAGCCTCACGGGCAACTTGTGTGTGGAGGCACCTCACCAGAGCTGCACAGGCCTCCAGCGTCCTGCAGTGGACCCGCAGATGGGCAAGCTAAGACACACTGCGGGGAGAGAGCCAGGGGACAGGCAAAGGGGAAAGGGAGGGGGCTGCTGGACAGCGAGGCCGAGACACAGGGTGCTGGTCCTGGGGCTTGAATTCAGGGCCCCGGGCTGTCCCTGAGCTTTTGTAATCAAGGCTGGAGTTCTGTCACTTGAGCCACAGCTCTACTTTCAGCTTTTTGATGGTTAATTGGAGAGAAGAGTCTCGGATTTTCCTGCCCAGGCAGGATCTGATCCTCCTAAGTAGCTGGGGTCACAGGTGTGAGCTACCAGTGCCTTGAAGTTCTGAGGCTCTTATTGAGCCTGACCATGGCCAGCAGAGGAGCAGGAAGCAGGGTCTGCGGCGTTCTTTGTGGGAGCAGCATTTTGGTTTTCTTAGGTGACTTAGGAGTCAGCTGGTCCACTGTGTGAGACCCAGAGGCACATACTGTCCTCCCCTCCCCCCCACCCCTGCCCATAAGCTGAGCACTCTACCCCGCCCCCCACGCATGCACGCACGCACCATGTACCACCACCAGCCGTAGGGCGGGGGTGGGGGCTACAGCACACCTCGGTCAGTCCCCAGGCTGGGGACTCTGTCCCAGCACTGCAGGTGACATCTGCAGTCAGGTGCCCTTTGAGTCAAGTATGCACCAGCTCACAAGATTGCAGGACACCGGCCTGCCGGTGTGTGAGGATGGGCTGGAGCCGTGGCTGGAGCGCAGGGGAGGGCGGGGGCGGGGCAGGCCCGCGGGCCCTCCCCGTGTCCCCCTCAGCTGGCGCCCTGCTCCGTGGGGTGATGACCGATGTGGCAGCAAGCCTTCAGACTTCCCTGCAGCCTGGGGGGGGCGGGCAAAGATCTCATAATGACGACAGAAACGGTCTGGTCACCTAAGGAATTCCAGGTTGGGGGCGCTGGGCAAGGGCCTGGAGACCCAAATGCACATCTGGTCGCCTCACGGAGTCTCATCTGTGAAGGGTGTGGTGGAGCTGCTGGGCGCTGGGCTGGCTCGGCTGCGCCAGGCTCAGACACATCTGAAGAGTGTAGCAAACAGTCCTAAGAGCTTTGCAGAAAGGCCCATGTCTGTCAGCCTTTTCAGGCATGTGTGCGCAGGGCAGCCCCTCTGCCGACTGCTGTGCTGCGCATACCAAGTCCCCGTCCCTGTGGTCAGGCCCGGCGTCCGGCCTGCCCTCCCCCGGGCAGACGCCGGCACCCCTGGGCCTCCCTCCGCCGTGAGCTGAGGAGGGGGCGAAGCCACCGCCCCCAGGCCCTAACCGCCTGCCCTCCCCCACCCCCGGGCCCTGACTGCGACCCTCCCCCCCACCCTGACCGCCCCCCCCTCTCTCTGCAGCTTCATGAATAGGCGCGCCGTGTCCACCAGCCCATACGTGGGGAGCATGTCCAACGGCTACGCCCACCCCAGCGGGGCCGCGCTGCACTACGATGACGTCCCCTGCGTCAATGGCGCGGTGAGTGCCTTCCCGCGCCGCCGGCCTCCGCCCGGGGCCGGCACCTTCCACCAAGCAGCTTCTCTGGTTGGCCAGCAAGCCCGGCTCCGGGGCCCTGGCCGCTGCCACCTGCAGGGTTCCTGGACGTGGGACGGGAGGGCAGCAAGCCCCCACCCCGAGGGTCCCCTGGCTCTGGCCATGTACACTGGACACCCAGCCCAAGGTATCTTCTAAACGGAGGCATGTAGCGCATTGAGGGCCAGATGTTTTAGGCTCTTCTTTCCTTACTGCTTTGCTTCTCACCTCCCCAGTATTCTGAAGTCTGTTCCTGCAAGGTGTTGTCAGGAAGTCCGCCCCATGGAGGCCTGGGGGAGGGGAGGCTGGAGCTCAGGCGTCCCCCAGGCTCCAGTCAGGGCAGAGGTTCTTCTGTGGCCTGGTCCCTGTGCCACCAGCCCAGCCCTGCCTGCCCCCACCACCCCAGCCCTGCCTGCTCCC